ACCTGGAAGAAGAATGATATGTCATCTGGAAGAATAACAAAGCTGAGGATTGTTCAGCCCATTCTCGATCCAAAGAATTTGAGGCATTTTCTGTTCTTTTTTTTTTTCTTCTTTTTTTTAAATTAAGGGAGGGAGGAAGGAAGATCAAAGACGTTGCCAATGAATACATTCGAGAAACATAAGCTTAAGGACATTTGAGGCTGGACAATAGATAATAGAAGCTTCAAGTTCACAACTTGTTATTTGTTTACCTTTATTATTTTATAGTTGAAATAATTTTGGGGTGTGTAATTTTTTGGTACAAGTTTGCATAAATGGAAGTGAAAATCTTTTCTTTACCAAATAGTTAAATAAGAAGTTATTTTCAATATCATATCTATTTTAGTCATTATATATAACTACAACACTTTTATATTATAGGTTACCAAATACTCAGAAAATTGATTTTGTACCCACATCACTTTTAGCATATAGTATACCAAACACTCAACTGCTTTTAGTCACAGCTGATTTCTATTACAGCAAATTTGAAAGTGATTATTTTCACAGCACAACAATGCCAAACTGACCCTTTGTATTGTCGTAACTTTCTTATCAATGAGATTTTAAAGGCATGTTTGATAACAATTTTAATTTTAGTTTTTAGTTTTAATTTTTTTATGCTAGAGTATAGAAGAAAATGAGAGTGAGGATGAAATTGAGAGAGAGGATGGAAGGGATGAGTTACAAAAGGGAAAACAAAAACTCGAAAGTGAAAACCATTTCAAATAGATTTCAGTTTCCAGTTTTCACTTTTATTATTCCTTCCTCCAATCATCCCCTCTCAGTCCCATCTTCACTCTCATTCTCACTTCAATTCTCTCTCTTTTTCCTCTATACTCTTGCACAAAAAATAAAAACTAAAATTGAAATGGTTATCAAACGGATCCGTGAATATAAAAACACACACACCCTTATTTAGAAATTTCATTTTTTGAATTGTTGGGTGTTATTTTTAAGTAGCTCATCCTATCATTTCTAGATAGTTTTAATTATAAAAAATGCAGAGTGAGGGTTATTATTATCAAGTGGCTTGATTTGTAACAAGAAACATTTGGTTTTGTATGGGCTTTTTTGTTTCAGCAACTGCAAATAGGCTTGGGATGCTGTAAAAAGTAAACGGATGAAGTTGCCTCTGTGCCTGAGTTCAAGAATCATACTCCAAGAGTGCTTCGAAAAGTTCGTGGAGTCTTACGAAGCACTTTGGTTCCCTTCACCAACAAGACAGACAATTGTTACATATTAATTTATGGTTTGGCCTGAGGAGCTTGTGGCATGAGAGCTAAGCCTCCATGGGTTTAGCAAAAAAGAGGGAGAGAGAGAGAGAGAGAGAGAGAGAGAGAGAGAGAGAGAACTTGGATTTCTTATAGGAAATAGATGTTCAGAACAAGCAAAGAGTGAAATTTGGGAAGATTTGATGAAGGAAGATAGGGAGAGCTGTGGATAAATGGATGGGTGGCTTGAGTAGGTTTTCTAGTAGCTTGACAATTTCTTGGTCGTGCTCTGGATCGATGTTTCGTTGGGTAGGAGGTGCCTCCTTTTATAGGCGCCGGAAGCCCCTTTTGGTTCAGGAACCCTAGCTGACTTTCCCCAAATTTTGCCAAGTCTTCTCCTCCATTTCCCTTCACTTCCTTCGATTTAATCCTTTTCGGTGAAAATTCCTTAATCCAAGCACATTGAGGCAAAGCATTTTGGGGCTCAAAGGTTTTCCTGCAGCTGACTTCTTCCATCATAGGTGAGGCGCCTCTTGCTTTTTCTCCTGGTTTTCTTACCAAAGCTTGTAGAGAAAAGAATGGGTAAGGGTGCTAGTCTAAAAGGTGTCTTACTTCCAGCAGCCCATGCATATGGGTTTCACTTGGTTTCAACGATGGCTTGGTTTTGATTTGGTTTTATTAATGTGCTGGGATATTTTATAAAGTGTTGGGCTATTTTTTTATCTCTTATGCATACCCATATATTTGGGCTCAAGAAATGGGCTTGAATTTGGAGCTCCCAAACAGCCCAAAACTTCCACTTCTTGAACCATTAGTGGTCTTCACGAACACTCGTAACCGTCCATAACACAACTCTCTCAACAAGCCCTAGGCATTTGCGTGGCTTGGGCCTACTTTAGCTTGTTGCGTGGCTCGGTACCACAAGGAAGGTTTTCTTTGCTAAACGTTGCGTGTGGCATGTTTGTGCTCGAGCTCTGCCGTATTGTAACGGACTATGGCCGGATCAAGCGATGCTTGACAAGACAATGAGTGCAGGTTCTTGGAACCAATACATTTTACTGGCTCGATGTGACCTCTCTGTGTGGCAGGTGTACCCTCACCACCTTTCTCAAAAGTTGACACATGTTTATTGGTTTAATTACAGTTAACTATTTATTTTTTATTTGTTTGATGACATTATTATGAGAGAGAAACAAAGCTTTAATAAGATTTTCCCTGATTTACCCTTATTTTAGCCCAACAAACTTTCCACTTTTCTGATTAATTTAATTTAAAAAATAAATCAAAACAATATAAAGTGAAAAAGGAGGGAGAGAGCATACATTCTCATCCCAGAAAAAGAAAAACAGAAGTCCCTTAAATTGAGAATTTATAATTCCTTAATTATCCATAAATTGGGTGCTCATATTTGAAGACTTACAGCTCCAAGAGTGCACTGCTCGACAATTGCAGGCTTCCTCCCTTTGTTCAAGCGAAAGATAGGTAACGTATGTATCAAAGCCAAAAATTCGACTATAACAACTCATGCTTTTATACATGCTTACCAGAAGTTTTTCATTTTGTCTTCTCTTTTCTTGTTCGATCAGTTTTTGTTTTTTATTTTTATTTTTATAGATAAAGCGATGGTTTATTAAGTTTCAAAAGAGCCCATAGTAGAGTTGTGCCTTGTCAGCGTTTTTGTTCTTTTCTAGCTTCGGCCTGCCTTGCAACCCCAAAAAAAGAAGAAGCAAAACTACAGCAAGTCTTGCTGTTTTTGGGGGGTGGTTGGTGTTTGTCACAAAACCACTCCAAAGCTTGGGTTATAGAGATACCAGACTGGGCCAATTTTTGGTTTCCTTTTTTTTTTTTGGTGAAGTGGTGTTATTTTTTTTCCAAAAGTGGTGTTCAAGAGTCTTCTTCTTTTTTAAATTTTTTTGTTGTCGAAGTTTATTTTTTGAGTAATGATGGTCCTGCTCCATACGTGTTAAAAATTTTGTTCGCTTGCTTTGCAATTAATCAAGAAAAGTGCAAAGCTTGCAGGGTTAGAATAAGGATAAATAAGGGAAAACCTTATTAAAGTAAAAAGTTAACTATAGTTAAACTCAGAGACATATGGCAACATTTGAGAATAGTAATAAGAGTACACTTTGAGTTAAAATAGTAAGTAAAAATGCTTCCTTTTTAACGAGGTTAGGTGCACACGTGAAACTGCTTCCCAAAAGCTGAACACAGGTGATGCACAGCACATCCTAAAGAGAATTGAGTGCTTGCTGTTTACAAATTACATGTATGCATGCATGCCTTATAAGTCCTCATGCTTGCTGCGAGCCGATGTATTACACAAGAATATGTAAAACACTGACACCCGAAACATATCTAAATTTCAAAAATCATAAAATAAAATGAAAGGCCAAAAATTATTTGTTTGTTCCTGTTCTTTGTTAAATTTTAGAGAGACGGATCTACAAGCAACACTGCTATTATTCACAATTTAACCACCTAGCAACACCACTCATCTTCTTGGATCATCTAGCACCAATTATTGGGCTTACTAGCTAAGATCCATTAACTATCATGCTCAAGGCAATTGGGCTGCACACTGTCAAGAGCCAGGGCTCAAGCATTGGGACTTCAAAATGAACTTTGGAGAGGTGTTCGGTAATGGCAATGGCCCGTTACTACAAGGAGAGGCTGAAGGGGTGGGCTGTGGTTGGGAAAGGTAAGGTGGGTATATTAGGAATTTCCTTTTTAGTGGGATGAGCCCAAATTTCAACAGTATATTATTATATATAGCAAATTAATTAATCAATAGAATCTGAGTTTGTGACATTATAGAAATTAACTTGGGTATATAATAATTAATTAATATAGGACAAAGATCTCAGTCTCTCTCTCTCTCTCTCTCTCAGATGATGATCCTCCTGAGCTGAGCATCAGAGCATGCGCATGTGATGTGCCACCGTCTTAAGCTTTGTAGCCAAATCCACGACCACGAGACTACTGTAGGAATCTATATAAATAAAAGCCAATTGAATCTGAGAGAGTAGCTTAGCTTAGGCTAGCGATAGACAGCAAAGTCGTAATCTAGCGTAAAACGGTGACCAACTACTGACAACAATGCATAAAACACGTACATTTAATGGATAGAGGGAGCAGCAGATCCTTCTGTTTACGTACGATTTTTTTGTATATTTTACAGCTTTGTCTGAGATCCAACTGGCAAACTTTGAAATCTATTCCCGGCTCCATGCTTTTCTTTGGCTTGTGCTTTTCTTCAACAAAATTAATTCAAACTTCAACCACCATCCATCAATCAACCATAGCCATGCATCTATCTATGGATTTTGTCCATCCACTCACATGCTCTCTCATCTGCTGCCATGCTCAAATTTATTTACACCAAAAACATCTTTACGAAAATCGGAATTCAAACTTGAATACAAGGGGACGATTATCAAATTTCATTCGAGGAATTTCAAATCTAGTAGCTCTTAAATTTATTACTAAAGCCCAAATGACTCGCTCATGGCGTTAGACCCATATCCGAGCCTTGATTCCGCTAGGCTTCTGATTGGCCCAAAATCTAAGATTCATCCATCTAATCTAGTCCATTGAACTCAAAATCCGAAACCCACTATTATTATTATTATTATTTCTGATTTCTCTCATGTTAAATTAATATCTGTGATTTGTTCCGAAAGCTCCATCTTTGTCCAAATAAACTTTCCAGTTGATGCATTATTAGCTAGAAATCAGGCAAGACCAAAAATTAATGCTCAAGTACAGAAATACGTTATACAGTATACATACAGACCGTACGGCCTTTTCAGAAGCCCACTACGCCTCACTCCCTGTCCTCACTCTCATTGACTACTCATTTCCTCTCCTCTCCCTCTTTCTCTCTCTGCGCCCACAGCAATGGTGTCACTATTGTCTTTCTTCTTCGTCTTCTTCGTCTTCTTCACCTTCACGAACCCCTGCAACTCCCAACAACCCACCACCACCAAAGATTACCTCCAGCTCCCACTTCTCCACAAGAAGCCCTTCTCTTCGCCCTCACAAGCCCTCTCCCACGACACCCACCGCCTCTCCCTCCTCCACGCTCGCCGCCACGACATCAAATCCCCCGTCGTTTCCGGCGCATCCACCGGCTCCGGCCAGTACTTCGTCGATCTCCGCCTCGGCACCCCACCCCAGAGCCTCCTTCTCGTTGCAGATACGGGCCGTGATCTGGTATGGCTCACCTGCTTCGCCCTGCCCAACCTCT